TACATTGAATGCTTAGGCAGCAAATCCGCCTAACAATTACAACTTTGTCAAAAAATTTATTAGGTCATGAAATGATCCATTGCTTAACTTGGATAGTTAATTATAGTAGTGGTAATTATTATAAATGTTGATTAACAAAGGATAAGGATATGACATATTGTGGTTATTGATGAGTATGTTAATATGTTATTCCTCGACTTAGGCTTTGTTTTATGGATGAACTTATAAATACGGGCAAGCAGATGAATAAGTTACCTAGGTAAAGGCATATAACTATTGGCATACCTATCGATATATAAAGCCTTTTTAAATGAATCAAACATCTCCATGTCTGATGTGATTGTGCTACAACGAATTAGGTTATGTGTACACTAACAAATGGCACTAATGTTGTCACAATAAAACACTCCATAAAACAATACACATATTTTTATACTCTAATTAACAATGATAAGATGATATTTGTTTTTTAAACTTAAGTCGAAACAAACTAAACTCGACAGTCATATGATTCATATCATATTTTGGTCTATTCTAGTAATAATCATCCATTTTACTGTTCATTTGGAATGACTAATTTCGATTAAAGTGGTAATCTAATTTTAGATAAGTTTGAATTGAATCTCTCTAAACCAAATTATATATGATTTATATTATGAAGTATAATCTCATAACTCAACTGGAGTCAATTTTGTCATGCATAAATAATATCCCATCCATGCTACTATTCACTTTTCTACTTCCATGCATGTGAATTGAGACTTGCGTGGATTATACTTCGTAAAATATAGGCATGCAAATGCAATAGCTTTGGAGTTTCGAATATTTCGACCATTAGAAAACCGAAGTTCAGGGGATCTGTATTTGGACTGCTAGTCTGCTGGTCAATTTTTGATTGATTTTAACTAGATATATAAATGATAGCTCGTGATGATATTTAAAAAAGAGTTTTATCTTTTTTGCCTTTTAATTCTTAATTGAATTACATTGTTATCCTACATAATATGTCATAATCATTTTAAAGTTTACTTGGAAAGAAGGCTATTTTCTATATCATCCACTTGAACATTCACATAAATCCCTTTATCATGCACTCATGCATTAAATTAAAGGTAATAATTCACCAGTTAAATGACAAAGTTAAATTTTAATTTAATTAGTAATGCATAGTTCAATAGTAATGTATAATTAGATTTTACTTAGATTAATTGATCAATAATTATTAACATAAGCAAAAAATATCTTGAATGCACCGATTCATTCATGCGTCGCGACTCGCGAGTATACAAGAATATCCAGTTAATGTATACCCAACACTGATAAAGAAATGCATACTACTACGTAAATGTTAGATTCGCACCACAAAAAAATGGTATTATTAAAATGGGTCGGGTCTCACTAGCAAGTAATGTGACACGCGGCAAAATCTAATTAGCTGAGCCGCCATAATTTTGTACTCTGCTAACGAATCCTCCATAATTTCGGATCGGCCATTACTAAATTCAGAAACCAACATAACCGCAACATGAGTACAAAATATATACTATATTATATTCGTCATAGATTTCCCGCATCATTTGCTTTTTTCTATGTATTTATTTATTTATTCATTTTTATTGATTGTAATATTGTTTTTGAGAATAATCCAATGGTACGGAGTAGTAATTATATTAATACATGTAATATTTGACGATATTTACACCATCTAAAGATTAACTTTAATTATTAATTTCTTACTTTGTATATGAGAACGAAATATTTGTACTTCCTCCGTTTTCTTTTAAATGCAACACACCTTTTTTCACGTTTTTTGTAAGAGGTGATTAGAGTAGGTAAATAGACAAATTAATCAATATAATCTATACACATATTAGCTAACCCTTCTCTAATCGTGGTGTTAAAATTATTTTGATAAAGTAGCTCGTTTACCTTTTCGAATCACCTTCTAAAAAAGCGTGTCAAAAAGGTGTGTTGCGTTTAAAAGAAAATAGAGGAAGTATAAAATCTTTTTTTTGACATTAATATTTGTATAAAATAAGATTTATTATATTTTACTTATTGAATCTCTCAAACAAAAATATTCTAGCTATGCGTATTTTGTACCCTATTCGTCCTCTATAATGGTAGCAAACCAATTTGCATAAATTTTAAGAAATTAATTTTGAATTTTCAATCCATTTTTAACAGAACCAATATAAGATCTTGATTAAAAAATAAAAAAAATAAAAAAACATATTATGATTTATTACAAAGAATTAAACATGTACTTGTATCTAGGGGTGAGCATAACATGGTACATTGTTAAAAACCTACAGGTTCCGATTCTGATTCAGGATCCCCTATATTTAATATATTTTGTACTTTTTTGCAAAACTATTTCAAATTTTTTTTGGAAAGTACATTTACAACTTGCAAATACAACAAACCAAAAATAGTTGTTTAATTAGCGAATTTAGTGCGTGGTACATATATTTATATTTTTAATTATTATTTTTATATTTAATTATTAAAAATTGGGCTTGAATTGATGAGGTATGATTTGGTCTTAAGTGATGCTTTTATTAGGTTACAAGGTACTCTACAGGTTCCGGTTTTAAAAAATTGAGAGCTTGTACCGGAACCTGTTGCAACATGTTCTCCATTTTACTACCTAGAACTGGAACTTCTTGTACAATTTTCGATTTTGAAACTTGTTAGATTCGATTTCGGTTTAAAATATCATGATTTTTAGCTCACCCTATTCATATAATTTTTCACCAAAACATTTGTTATAATAGTAGCATGATATGTACATGTAATATTTTATTTATATACACTAACATAAAATAATCCCTAAATTTACTTGATGCATCACCCTTAACCACTATATTACAACTTCATAATTGGGACCAATATTATCATTATCATATAGTCTATTATTTATAATACTATTTCACCAAAACATTTGTTATAATAGTAGCATGTCAGGAATCAAAATTATCATTCTTGCAACTTGCAATTGAGTAGAAGTATTATAATAAGAAACTTTATAAGAACATTATTAAAGAAGTTTAGAAGCTACGAACAAGGAATAGAGGAGGAAAGGAGTATTCTAGAAGCTCGCCCGCCATTGGTGGGCATGGGTCTAATCTTAGTCGAATGCCTGTGGCCCGCTTCAAATATATCGTACCCTTGACCAATGACCAGACGGCATGACCGTTAATTAATTTATTTATTCACACATTTTTATTTTCGGCTTTTGGTGTTAGGAGGAGATATATATTTTTTTTTTTTAATTTAGCTACCCTATCTTACAATATTGGTCACTTTTACTCTTTCAAGCTTTACTTCTATTATTATTATACTTCATCTTTTATTAACTATTTGCAATAGTTTGGCTGTTATGTGTTGATATACAAGTTTGATCATAAATATAAGAAATTATGTTTTTATAAAAAAAAAGTATGAAAAAATTAATATTTAAAAATATACAACAAAATTAATCCAACAATTCATTACACATTAACCTCTTAATTATATATATTACCAAAAAAATATAGACAAAACTAATACTTGTAAATGAATAGTATCTAAGTTAAATTACTACTACTAGTGGTATTTCAGAGCGGATGAACCAAGCAAAACTTGGTGGAGTTGATGGGAAACTCACTTTTGTGATTTTGAGGTCATAAGTTCGAACTTCATGAACTACATTAGCTTGGGAGTAGGGAGATTCCCTTACCTCCCCCCTCTACTCTCATGCGTTGACTTGCGGGGCAGAGTTGACTTAACCTATAAAAGGTGTTGGTTTATGAAGTAATTATTATTATTATTATAAATATATTAATATTTTTGTCGTCCAAGAAATTATTAAAGAGTAGTGTATCTCTTGATCATTTGATTATACTGTCAAGTAAAGCCTGATTTTGTTGGGCTTATTTTAGTTTTAAAGTTCGATTCAGTTCAATTCGATTTGAATCAAGTCTAATTTAAATTAGTTCAATTTCATTCAGTTTATTATATGATTATTTAGAGCATGATCTTTCACTTAATCTTTACTAAATTGAAATTAAATAATTTTTTATTGACTTAATTTTTTTTTCAATGATTAAAGCATTTTTACTAGAAATTACCGCTTGTTTTTTTTCAAGAAGGTACACTTGTTTTGATAAACTAACTTAATTTATTTTTAAATGCAAATAAGATAACACTTAATAAAACCTCTTAAAGTAGAATTATTTCTTCATTGGTCAAATATTGGAATCACGTGATTATCCTAATTATATATTTCCTGCATTTCTTTATAGTTGCAACACACACTTTATCACGGTATTTAAAAAAAATAGACCTCACATGATATAATACATTTAAAATGGGGTTAAGAGGTTGTTAGAAGTATAATCAAGTCGGCCATGAGCTTTAAATAAAGGTAATAGTACAATTTTTACCATAAAAATTTTCCTTCTATAGTTTATTGCAACTATTGTGACATTTACATTTTAGGAAAGTGTTGCAATTATAAAGAAACGAAAGAAATATGTATTATTTATCCCAAATTTCATAATGCATATCAATGCTTCATTAGTTTTAAACAATAATAGTTGATAGACATTGCTTTAATCTAATGTATCAATACTTATATTAGTTGCTAATGTCTCCTACTTAAGCTAACATACTTTGTGGGACGTAATTTTTTCTTTTCTCTTTACCTACAGTTTTTTTTAACATAATATTAACTTAAAATTGAAACGGAGGTAGCATGTCAATTGCGTTACATATGATTAAAAGGAGCATTGATTTCAAATTAATTAAGACAACATTGAACTTTAATTTCTATAAGCTTAATGTTATTTTATCACCATCTCCATAGACTAATTCCCAATCCATAACACAAATTAAAATAAACTAACTCAGCTCCCCTCACACCTTTAAAGGTTTTGACCACCCAATAATTGATTAAAATTCTTGTAGCTTTAGGTATTAATCATGGCATGCATTAAGCTAGACCATCTGACAAATATTAATCAAATAGTTATATCCTAATCTACACATTAATTAATTAATTAATTAATGTAAAATCCTACAAATTGAGCTGGATTAATCTCTTAATTAATTCCTTCTTTTAACATAAAGCGACCAGGAGCCGAGAATGAGAAAAGATAAGAGTACACTTTGTCAAAAAAAAAAAGAAGTAAAATTAAAAATAAGAGAAATTAATACTACTAGATTGTAGGTGACGTCACTAAAATTACTCAGCTGCAAACTGATGACCTGGCCGCCACGAGTCATTTGACCCACGTGTATTTTTTGAATTTAACGAATTTGATTATGACCCATTTTAATTAATTAGTTAATAATAACAATATCTATTTTTAAAGTAACTTTCCAATTTCATCCCCCCTTACACCCCTTACTATATCAGGTTGTGTTTCATTCATTATTACTTGAATTATTTTCTTCATATATAAAAAGGAAGTAGTGAGCCAAACTAATCCTTCATCACTTTCACATTTCACATCTTCCATTATATTAGCAAAAATTAAACAAGTTTAACTACTCGAAAAGGGAAAAAAAAAAATACAAGATGAACTCATCATCCTCGGAGTCATCTTTTAAATCTTCGTCTTCAGAATCATTCTCGTGGGAAGAATTTGATTTATCTAATATTCTTCCCTTCATCGAGAACGATTCTGAAGATATATTTTTGCTAGACATTTTGTCTAGCAATAACATACCAAATTTCACCACCACAACCACGACCACGACCATGACTACGACCATTGGATTGCCAACTTCATCCTCCTGCTCGATGAATCGAGTCAAGGAGGAGGAAGTGACATCCTCAATGTCTAAAACCATCAAAGAAGAGGCCGCGATTATTACCCCAGATGAAAAATCTTATAGAGGAGTAAGAAAAAGACCATGGGGTAAATATGCAGCTGAAATTAGGGATTCTACAAGAAATGGCGTAAGGGTTTGGTTAGGTACCTTTGATACACCTGAGGCTGCTGCTTTAGCTTATGATCAGGCCGCGCTTTCGACTCGTGGGACGCTGGCTGTACTTAATTTTCCGGTGGATGTAGTAAGGGATTCGCTTAAGGAGATGAACTATGAGTTTGGAAATGGGTGTTCTCCTGTATTAGTGATGAAAGATAGACTTTCTATAAGGAAAAAAAAGTCTATGTGCAAGAAAAACAGAGTTAAAAGCAGGGGATCATCTTTGGAAAATAATGTGTTTGTTTTTGAAGATTTGGGTTCTGATTACTTGGAACAATTGTTAACTGCAAGTGAAAGCATGCATTAGTACTTAATTAGTTAGGTTTAGGTGATATTTTTTCATCATTTACCTCTTAAATGAAAAGTATTGTTTTAATTTTTGTGAATTTCTAGATTTTTTTTGGAAGATTTTCTTGTAATAAGATTTTGGATGAAGTATATCAATTCTTAAATTTTTTATTTGCATAATTTGTTTTTTCTTCTTCAAGTACATAGATCATAAATTTTGTTATTGCCAATCTAATACAGAGTATCTACTTATTATTATATCAGATTAATTTTTAATTTTCTATCTTAATGGTAAGTTTTAAGGCAGTATATGTTAATTTTGTTCAAAAAGCATATATTAATCGTTACTGCAAAGTTATCAAGGGCAATATTAAAAGTCGAATAATTATTTGAGCATTATTGTTGACATTATGGGCTACCAATTGTCAACATGATAGTTGTACATTTGTGCTTGAGATAATCATCTTACTACTATATTTTTCTTTATTATATCCCCCCTCTATATTATAAACAATCCAATAGTTTTAGGAAGTTATTGGAGGAGTGCAATCTATTAGGGACTCCATCTTTCCCCAACTATAATTAAGAATCTAATCATCTAATAAATTAATACTAATTAAGTCGTGATTAGGTCATAAATAATAAGGAGAGACAACTTGTAAATAGACATAAATCTGTTTTTATCCAATTTCATTCATGAAAGCTGCAGACAGACAAATCAGACAGCCCAAAGAAGCTAATGAATAAGCTTATAAAACTTACACATGATATATGGCATTTCAACTACTTTTCATATGAGCACATGACCTAGGCGCTATTTTAAAATACTTCGTGATTACTTGTACGAAGTAAAACACATTCGGAATTATTTGTCAGAATTATCAATTCCCAAATATAAACATCAAAAACTTTTGTGTAGTTTACACTGATATTAGTGTACATCGAGCAATATAAAAGTAACTTTTAATCAATTTGGGGTAATTTTATGTCTTTTTTGGATAAATTTTAACCTAATACGATTTTTATGTAAATAAGTAACAAGAAAAATTTTATAAGGGTAATATAATTATTTTCAATCTCTAATATTTGATTTTTAGTCACTTAAAATAAAATGTGTTTCTTTACCAATAAATATAAATAATTTTTATTTGTATTGAATTACTTTTATACATATTAGGGTAACATTTATTCACTTTAGGATAGCTTTACAATAGATGTACAATAATTATTGTACACCCAATTTTCTTAAAAAAGTTTGTGAATAAACATAAGATAAGTAGACAACAATTATCAAATGTAGAAGTTGTCAAATTTTTAATCCTCATCTCTCTTCATGTGGCAGTCTTTGTAAGAAGTTTGTAATATGGCCTTAGGCGGTGTCAAAGGGCCAACTCGATCAATAAAAAATCAAGTTGATGGTTGGAGTCCTAGGCTAAGAGTTGTCTTTAAGGATTGAAGTGTAGATGTAGCACAAGTATCCTCACTTATAGTAGTAAATTACATAATTCACTTTGAAATGAGAAATGGATGAGATTGAACTTGTGATTTTCTTGACGTGTTGGCTTCGTATCTAAAGGTCTAAAATAATTGTTGGAGCCCCATGCATGATCTGATATTATTGGAAGTGATAGATATTATATTTAGGATAATTTTTGTCGCAGATTAGGATATATTTTGTGTATATATATTTTGTATCCTTATCGTACTAGGTTTCCAAACGTGATTAGGACTAATATTGTCAACACTATATATATTGATCAATGATACACACTCTAATTTGAGGTGCTTTCCCGATATCTAACAAGAAGAACCGAAGAATGGAAGTACTTTATTCATAGACGTATAAGTTAGTTGTTATCTCTCCTCTTCTTGCATGTATGTGTATATTGTACTCATATGTAGTCTCAATATATATGGGATCTAGCTCTGAGATGTAAGATGTCAAAATGTGTGAAAGGATCGAAGTTTGGTCTAGCTCTTAGATATACGGTTGAAAATGTTAGAAAGGATCGAAGTTTTTAATAAGTCGAAGTCTTTTTTCCCCTTCTTGTTCAGATGTTCCAATCTGAATACGAAAAGAGAGGATTCTATTTTATCGACACATGATCAATTAAAAAAATGTATCTTTCTTTAGTGACTAGTACTGTCAAAAACCGAACCGAACTGGGGAAACCGAACCGATTCAAACCGATCCGAATGAGAACCGAACCGATTAATAACCGTTTTTATGAAACCGAAAACCGACCCGAACCGCATTTTAGTAAACCCGAAACCGAACCGATCCGAGTAACGTTAAACTGTTTAAGAACCGAACCAAATCTAAACCGAACTGAAAGGAAACCGAACCGAAAATGAACCGAACCGTTTCTAACCCGAAACCGTTTGAACTGGCATAAAAATCGTTTACACCGAACCGTTTATAAACCGAACCGTTTATGAACCGAACTGTTTATAAACCGAACCGTTTAAAAACCGAACTGATTATAAACCGAACCGCTTATAAACCGAACTGTTTATGAACCGAATCGCTTATAAATCGAACCGTTTACAAACCACTTACTACTAGCAGTGGTCATTGGGCGGGTCGATGCAGGTCATTAGCGATCGGTTGCGGGTCAAGATGAATATTTAGCGGGTCAAGGTCGAGTCAGGGTCGGGTCAGGGTCGAGATAAAAGTGAAACGGGCCATTAACTTCTACTTTCTGCTATCAGTTTATGCAAATATATAATGATAAACGAGTCTTAATTATCAATCTTGTTGACTAATTAAGTATCAAATACCAAATTGCAAATTTCGATGTCACAACAACTCATCAAATCATGATTATGACTCTATTAACTAAATGATCAAATAAGAAGCAGATAATAATCTGATAGTAAAACAATAATACATTAATGCACTAAACTTTTATAATCTACTTCGTAATAAACTAGTAAGATCAGTATGGCTAAACTTGAAACATAACATGATATGTATTTATAAAATTAATGAGAATTTGAATATAATATGATGCATCAATATGAAGTGATGAAGTCTCGGCTTGATATAAAACTTGTTAACTACCAAAAAGTTAGAAAGTAGTATAAAATTTCAAACCAAAACTGTTTGATTGGCTGAATCCAAATGACTCGATAAAAAATCGATTTTTTGAAATCAGAAACAGACCCGAATCGTAATTTAGTAAAACAGAAATAAAACCGATCCAAATAATGTTAAATCGTAGAAGAATCGAACCCTTTAACAAATCAAACCAGTTATAAACCGAACTAAAATTAAACCGAACCAAAAAAGAACCGAACCGTTTCTAACCCGAAACTGTTTGAATCGGGATAAAAACCGTTTACACCGAACCGTTAACAAACCGCAACCCGTCTGCACCGAACCGTTAACTACCCGAACTGTTTACAACCCGAACCGTTTACAACCCGAACCGAATTTAAACCGGGATAAAAACCGTTTACACCGAACCATTAACAAACCGCAACCCGTCTGCATCGAACCGTTTACTACCCGGACCGTTTACAACCCGAACCGAATATAAACCGTTCTAGAATAAACCGAAACCGAATTGAACCGAAAATTATTTAAACCGAACTGAAACCGACCCTAAGACATTTAAACCGATTTCAAACCGACTTCAAACCGACCCGATTTCAAATCGAACCGATTTCAAACCGAACCGAAACCGAACTGTCAAACCGTTTTGACAGTGCTACTAGTGACAAGTTACTTTGAAGCAACTATTTCCTAGATATGCATACACACATGGAATGTGCTATTTTGATCATTAGATTAAATAAAAAACTACATACCGTGATTTCTTTATAGTTTATAATCGCTTTATCTCAGTAAAAATAGTTTGAAGAAATTGTGTTATACAGAGTATTATGTAGTCAAATTAGAGTTATGTACTTTCTATTTGAACAGTGTTTGTCTCAACTTGAAAAAAATTTAGAGACAGAAGAAATACTTTAAACTGTTTATCTATTTTTTTCTTCTTTCACACGGGACAATTCACATACTATGAAATTTCCTCTTTTGACACTTTCCAAGTTTGTTAGTTTTAGTTATATTTGGAATAAAGTTTTATTTAAAATGGTTTACATAATTCATTAGTGATCGTTGGCCTGGCCCCACTTAGCCGGTTAGCCGCATATCATTATAAGCTTTTAGTTCTTTAATTTTATAGCTTTTCCCTCCTTAATTTTATAGCTTAAAGACAAGCCGAACCCCAAAACATATATCAAATATACCACATAATAATTATAACAATAATATAATAGCTAAAAAATAAAATGATACCTGTGCAATGTTCTTTCCCAATTAATGACACAAACCTTTTTAAATAGGTCCAAAAAAAAAAAAACCTAGACTAAAAAATAATTTTTTTATATTTTAACGGCTATAATAATATATCTCTTTATAGTAATGAGTATTAATTATATTACATAAAAATAGATCGATTCAGAAATGCAAGCTAATAATACAAATTATTTTAAGAGATGCATATATCATTTTTCTTTATTTAAAAAACTAATTAATATAAATCGATAGAAAGTGGACCCGACAATATGTTAATGATGATTCCTCATCTAGAAAACTAAAGTATATTATTGCAAGTTGATACATATATTAATCTTCAAATGTTCAATGACCAAGATTTTTCCCCCCTTTATATGGGTCAAATATCAAAACATTTAGCCGATTTAGAGGTTGGGCAAAATCAGTCAGATCTTGTGATAAAGTTTCATCCTTTAAATAGTGTCAAGCGTTGTTAATTTGTTATAGGAGTATAAGATTTTTTTTTCTATCTTTATAAGAAATATAACATTGGTACGTTGCGTATGGAATTTGGTATTTGAATAAGGTTATCAAATGAGGTTAAATTTATTTATATAATAATGCAATTAGCAGTTAATTAGCATCATATCAATCAGTTCAAACAGGAAATTATAAGACTTTTGCTTGTCTCTTTGTGTTGATAATTCTTAAATTTGGGTCCATTAAGTAGCTCACTTATTATTGTTACTCCCCTTTCACTTGTAGCTCGAATAGTAAGGCTTGTGAAATTATTTTGTTTCCATGACATGAATAGTTGGCTTTGAGATCAACATTGACGACTTTTGCACTTTAATTTTTCTTTCAATTTCTTACTACATGCATGCAACAAGTTAACTTTACTATGCACTTATTATGTCAGCTTGTTACACATATTATAAAACGGAAATCAAAATTCACTTAAATCATATGTATTAGCTATATGATGAAAATCTAAAAGATGTTTTGTAATCAAAATAATCAATATATCATGTTCGATAGCTCAATAATGTGCCATGGCATGGTATATCATGTTGTACGTACGTAGTATATTAATTAGTTGTCCTAGACCTCGTAGTGATTTGTATTATTAATTTGTTATAAGTTGTGTTTGGTGTATTAATATCATTTATAATTCTTCATTCCTTTTATCAATACCAATAACTTATTTTCCCTTTGTAGAAATAGCCATAATTAGTTCCTTAATTAAAGGGACTAAATATTGACCAATTTATTCTGCGAATATTTAGGCAAATATTTTTGGTAGTAGTTGCTGTAATCTTGGTAGTAATTGCCTAATTTACAGGGCTCCTGTGTATAAAATTACAAACACAATTCCGCTTAATTCTCTATATGGTATCAGAGCCGTAAGGTTCGATTTGGGAAACGAAACCTTGTTTTTCCTCATCATTTACCAGAAAACTTACCTGCGATGGACAACCAGCCATCGTCACACAACCAAACACCAAACAACCAGCTAATTTCCTTGGAACAAATGGAACAAAATTTCCAATTATTCCAGAAAATGAACAAAACACAAACCAACCCAGAATCCGGCACATCACGAACAGTGGGTGTCGCCGGGAAATCGAGTTTTTCAGATAACACAAATTGGTGTAATCACTGTGGTGGTACGAAACACACCAAAAAGGGGTGTTTTGAACTCGTTGAGTATCACCGACAGAAAGCCGCTACCAAGGTCGGAGTAAACCAAACCGGCGGCAAGGCCAATGTCGTCGTATACTTAAACCCAGAAAACAAGGACTCCGGCAACGAGGATAACACCTCAGTCGAACAAAGCAACACCGATGAAATCACAAGCATGAGAAGTGAAGAAAATACCACCGGGAAAAATGGTGGTGATGAAGCTAGAAAGAAGCAGAGTAAGGAAAGAGAAAATCAGTTTTTTAGAAAGTGAGAATGAGAGTATAAAAGAGGAGATTTTCTCCCTTTATATGTCGGCTGGAAGGAATGAAATAGAACAAGAAAACCTAGCCCATAAAATTCACCCTTTAACCGGTCAAACCCACAAACCAAGCCCACAAAAAAATCTCTCATTCCCTTCATCTCTAACCGACCAAACTCAGCCCAATAACCTAAACCCGAAACCTCTTGGCCTTATTTGTAAAAAAACCACTCCATGGATTTTTGACTGCGGAGCCACTGACACTATGACGTTTGATCCATCAGATATTAAAGCCACCCAAACCTCTCGCCGAAACCAAATCCAAACAGCAAACGGGGAATATATTCCTGTTACCCAGGCTGGGAAAATTGATGTTACATCAGACATTCATTTAAATAATTGTCTTTTAATTCCCAGTCTTACTCATAAGCTGTTATCTGTAAGTCAGTTGACTAAAGAGCTTAATTGTACTGTTTTATTAACGGATTCTGGTTGTATTGTGCAGGATGCTCTAACAGGAGAGATCATTGGGCGTGGTACTGAACGAGGAGGTTTGTACTACGTAGATGAGGTGGCTCAACAGGGTAACGCTTTGCTTGCCTATGGATCACCGAAAAACCAACTTTGGATGTGGCATCGTCGGTTAGGTCATCCCTCTCTTGGTTATCTTAAACGTTTATTCCCCTCCCTTAAAAGTGTTAATATGCCCTTGAATTGTGAGACATGTGTCTTAGCTAAGAGTCATAAACATACGTACCATCCTAGTTTAATAAGCCATGCCCCTAAACCTTTTACTTTAATTCATTCCGATGTATGGGGTCCAGCGCCTGAATTTGCAGTCCATAATTATTCATATTTTGTCTTATTTGTGGATGACTGTACTCGTATGAGTTGGGTGTATTTCTTAAAACATAAATCTGAAGTTTTCGATGTCTTTGTTAAATTTTATCATATGATATGCACCCAATTTCATGCTCACCCACAAATTTTACGGTCAGATAATGGGGGGGAGTATATAACCTTAGATATGAAACAATTCATTGTTGACCATGGTCTAATCCACCAAACCTCATGCCGAGACACTCCTCAACAAAACGGAGTTGCTGAACGGAAAAATCGAACTCTACTTGAAATAACTAGAGCTATATTAATAGAGTCTTATGTCCCAGTCTATTTTTGGTCGAAGCCATTGTTACTTCCACCTATCTCACAAATCGCCTACCTAATAAACCACTCAATTACAAAACTCCTCTAGACACCTTAACCTCCCATGTCACCATTCCATCAGTCCATTCTTTACCTCCACGGGTTTTTGGATGCGTAGTCTATGTTCACCTACCAAAACGCGAGAGAAATAAAGGGCAGTCAAATGTGTCTTTATTGGATATGGAGTTCATCAAAATGGGTACAGGTGTTATGATCCAATTGCAAAAAGAGTCCATACAACCTTAGACTGTGAATTCTTTGAGCAAACTTACTATTACACCCAGCTTAGTCCTCAGGGGGAGAATTTGAGTGATGACCTTAGCTGGCTGACATATCCAGAAATGGTGGACCCAGATCCTACAACACAAGTAGGCAATACCATCGATGCTGCTTCAGAAGCAGTAGACTCACTTCCTCTTCAGTCTACACCAGATTATCCAGTTGAGCATCCATCTGATAATAACCCATCAGAAGAGGTACCATCAGAAGAGGTACCATTTGAACAATCTCCTGTTTCCTATAATATGCCTGAAATTAATCCTGTCTCCAATGAAAGTGAACAAAACAGGTATGAGTTCCCTCCTAGAAGTACGAGAGGAGTTCCACCAAGGAGATATGATCCTGCATATGAGGACCAACGGTCGAGATATCTAATCGAAGGAATCAGCACTAAAAATTTGTCCAGCACAGCCATAGCTTTCAATGCTTCTTTGTACTCCGCCGACATTCCAAAGAATGTGGAGGAAGCTGTCAAGAATGAAAAATGGAAACAAGCTATGGAAGAAGAGTATCAGGCCCTACAGAAAAACAAGACTTGGGAGAAATGCATCTTACCAAAGGGGAAGAAGAAGGTGGGATGTAGATGGGTATTCTCCATCAAATACAGAGCAGATGGAACTATTGAGAGATACAAAGCACGACTGGTTGCTAAGGTATACACTCAGACATATGGAATAGACTACTCAGAAACTTTCTCTCCTGTAGCCAAAATTGACACAATATGAGTTTTGTTTTCTGTAGCTGCAAACAAGGAATGGCCTCTGTACCAGTTTGATGTGAAAAATGCCTTCCTTCATGGAAGCATTGACGAGGAAGTGTATATGGAGGTACCTCCTGGATATTCCCATGATTTTAGAGATGGGGAAGGATGCAGATTGAGGAAGGCTCTCTATGGACTAAAACAGTCTCCTAGGGCGTGGTTCGGAAGATTCACAAAAGCTATGAAGAAATTCGGATATAGCCAAAGTAATTCAGATCACACCCTTTTCCTGAAAAGAAAAAGGGAGAAAATTACCTGCCTGATTATCTATGTAGATGATATGATCATTACAGGAAATGATGAAGAAGAAATTTCCGACCTAAAGAGGAAATTGTTCCAGGAATTTGAGATGAAAGATCTAGGGAACCTCAAATACTTTCTGGGTATAGAGGTTCTAAGATCAAAGCAAGGTATTTTTATTCATCAAAGGAAATATATTCTTGATCTTCTGGCAGAAACAGGGATGCTAGAATGCAAGCCAGCTGAAGCACCAATCATGGCAAATCATGGCCTTCAAATTCTTGAAGGGGCAAATTTGGCTAATAAGGAACAATATCAGAAATTGGTGGGAAAAGTCATATACTTAGCTCACACAAGACCAGATATAGCATATGCTGTTGGAGTAGTGAGTAGATTCATGCATCTTCCACAAATTCAGCATATGACAGCAGTAATGAGGATCCTAAGGTATCTAAAAGGTACTAGTAGTACAGGGATCTATTTTGACAAGAATGATCACTTGGACTTGATTGCCTACACCGATGCAGACGGGCAGGAGATCGTGATGGCCGAAAATCGACTTCTGGTTATTTTACTTTGGTAGGGGGAAATTTGGTCACATGGAGAAGCAAGAAACAGAAGGTAGTGGCCTTATCAAGTGCAGAAGCAGAATTCAGAGGTATTGCAAAAGGAATAACTGAGATCTTATGGATCCGGAAACTTATGAGTGAAATTGGTTTTCCACAAAAAACAGCATGCAAACTCTTTTGTGATAACAAAGCAGCAATAAGTATCTCAGAAAATCCAGTTCAACACGACAGAACGAAGCATGTTGAGATAGATAGACACTTCATAAAAGACAAACTGGAAGATAAGATAATTAAACTTCCATTTGTGAGATCAAGAGATCAGTTAGCTGATATCCTGACAAAAGCTATCAACAGTGAAGCATTCAATGAGGCATTACGCAAGTTAGGCATTGGAGCACCGAATGCCCAACTTGAGGGGGAGTGTAGAAATAGCCATAATTAGTTCCTTAATTAAAGGGACTAAATATTGACCAATTTATTCTGCGAATATTTAGGCAAATATTTTTGGTAGTAGTTGCTGTAATCTTGGTAGTAGTTGCCTAATTTACAGGGCTCCTCTGTGTATAAATATTCATACTATCACAAGCAATAAAAAACACAGAAAATTACAAACACAATTCCGCTTAATTCTCTATGCCCTTTATAAGTCAAACTCTTTCATTATACAAGATTGAAAACTAGAATTTGTTCCAAAATTAGATTTTGCTAAGCATATGTCTCAAGAATTTTTTTTATATAATTATAGTGTTGTGAAAAGTTTAATCAATTATGTTTCTCAGCTGTGGGCATTATGTTTAACAAATTTTATAATACATACTATATTTAAAATAAAATATTTTGGTCAATTAAATTTGATATATTCGACCATTACTATCAAATAATTAAGCTTATCCGACCTTTGTTTAACTTAGATATTTTATATATTTTTCCTTAACTAAAATTACTTTTTCTGAACTTATCTTATCTTGACGTAACTTTATTGAGTATATATTTTGATTACTGATCAAAAATAAATTGAATGATAACGAAATGTTTGTTATTAGGATCAATCTTAATCTTGGAAGTTAGGGAGTACTGTAGGGAAGAATTTTTGGTAAATACATGTGAGGGCCGTACCCGCAAATCAAGAGAGAGAGTCCACTTCACAAGTTTGGTTCCATTACAAAACCATATGGCAATAGGAGGAGTAGCCCCTTAGCCTTATAAAGTGATTAACTCTCTCTTCTTCAACCAATGTGGGACACTTACATGTGGTGATATTTGGAAGGTATATTCTTCAACACTCCCCCTCACATGTAAGGTCCCTTTTAAACTTTGTCTCATGTGATTTTTCGGGCTAGAGTGCTTCTTCACTTGTTAGTGGACCATATCAACCAAAAGCTTAAGTTGATGGTTGAAGTGCAGGATCGGTTTATATACTCTATCACGCCCCCTCACATGAGAGCTCATTTGGGCTTGAAGTGTGGATTTAGCATGGGCCCCACCATACCCAGCATTTAATATTCCATTTTGAAAGGAGGGGTGAATGAGATTCGAACCCGTGACCTTTGTGTCATGTTAGTGGACCATATCAACCAAAAGCTTGTATATCCTACCAAATAACACATGTAAGTGTCCCACGTTGAGAAAAAAAGTGAGAGTCGAACACTTTATAAGGCTAAGGGGCTACTCCTGCTATTGCCATATAGTTTTGGGATAGAACCTCCTTTGATCTTGTGGAGTGGACACTCTCTTTAGTTTGCGGGTGTGACCCAGACTCGTATTTAACAAATATTAATCAATAAAATTCAAAATGTAATTTAATTGCTGCGATGAAGTGTTGACAATATCTTAGTTGAATAGTCAAGAAAATGATAGTACTGTCCTACAGAGTAATATTAATATTAACTTATTACTGTAAGTAGTTTGCAATGGATGTTGTTATTCGTCGTTCCCATTTTACCGGCCGTCGCTCGCATTTTGGACTTGAATTTCCTAAATTGCCCCTTGGTTATAAATAGTCACGAGACTCACGAACTACACATTTCACACTTGAATTTTCTCTCTCTAAAATTTTCTCTCTAAAATCTGTAATCTCTCTAAAATCATATTGTTTTTCGAAAATCAGATTTTGAAAATTCATAGCAAAATCTGAAGAAAAAAAATTATAATAATCTCTACAAAAAAAAAAAAAAAACAAAAACAACCACATCTTAAATCTTAAATCTGTCTCTAAAATCAGTTATTTTCAAAAACCAGATTTTGAAAATTTATAGCAAAATCTGGAAAAAAAATTGTAATATTCCCAAAAAAAAAAAAAAAAAAACAAAACCGAAAACAACCACAATCCCAAGGGACTTGCAATGGCTGACCAGCAGCGGATAAGGGTGACGTATGGTGGTCGTGGCGGCGGTGGAGTCTCCGGCGAACAGGTAACGAAGAACGAAAAAAAAAATTCTGGAAAAATTTGGGACATCCGCCTGGAAAATCCGGATGTCCCTCATTGCGCATGAACACATAACCGACGAGGAAATTCTGATTTGTCGGTGTCACACCAACTATCTCAAAGAACGACATCCCGTATCGGTTGGTCTTGTATGTCGAATCCATACCGATCACATACGGGTACGTCCGTAGTATGTTCAATTCACCGTGATCGGGTGCACCATAAACGCATGCTGCAGAACGCCGACATCATCAGACATGACCCAGTAAATATACTGGCTCTGTCTCGCCAAATGCAGAAATTGCTGAACAACTCCTCTCTCATCAGACATCTCCGCTCTCAAGTCATTCCGGCAGTTGTAGATATGTCGGATGTTTGGATGATCATCGGGAAATTGCTCTGCAATAGTCGCCATGATGTTACGCGGTGCAACCTTGGACTTTGTCATGTCCTGCACAACCTTCTTTGCATCCGGGCTCAAGCCACTAATCTTACGATGACCCTCCGGATAGACAATCATTGGATGGTTATAGGTCCCAGTTGCATCATTTTTGGCCCGGATCTTCCAACTGTCGGTGACGAAGACATAATAAATCTTGATGTAGAAAGGACAACCAATTGCTTTGGTTTTGGTGTCCCTCCTAATTGCATTCTCAAGATCTCTCGGCTGGCTCTTTCGGCCCCTATCACACCTCAAATACCGGTACGGCCGACCGTCTCTGGTTTTGTTGTAAGACGATTTAACAAAAAGAAAACCCAGATTTACGGCAACAACATCCGGCCAATTAACTGCCTCATTAAACGTTGGAAACAACGTGTTTGTGGCAAAATGCACACTATAATTCACATCGTCAGCACCATCTTGTACTCCGAACCCTGTAAAAAATAATGATGACACACATAAAACACAAACACTTTACTTCTAATTCTAATATAGACAATACTAAAAATTATATTAACAATAATCATAACAATACTAAAAATAATATAAACAATAATATAAATAATCATAACAATAATATAAATAATCATAACAATAATAAAAAAAATTATCGAAATAATAATAAAATTAATCATAATAATAATACAATTTATCATAACGATAATAAAAATAATAATAATAAACACAATAATAACAACAATAACAATAATACTAATAACCAATAACTCACAAAAAATTAAAAAAAATAATAATAGCCATAATGATAATAATAATAACCATAATAATAATAGCAACACTAATAATAAAATAATACTAATACTAATAATCAATAACATTAACAATAACACTAATATAAATAACCATAACAATAATAAAAAAAATTATCGAAACAATAATAAAATTAATCATAATAATAACACAATTAATCATAACGATAATAAAAATAATAATAGTAAACACAATAATAACAACAATAATAATGATACTAATAACCAATAACACACCAAAAATTAAAAATAATAATAATAACCATGATAATAATAATAACCATAATAATAATAGCAACACTAATAATAAAATAATACTAATACTAATAATCAATAACATTAACAATAACACTAATATAAATAATCATAACAATAATAAAAAAAAGTTATCGAAACAATAATAAAATTAACCATAGTAATAACACAATTAATCATAACGATAATAAAAATAATAATAGTAAACACAATAATAACAACAATAATAATGATACTAATAACCAATAACACACAAAAAATTAAAAAAATAATAATAACCATAATGATAATAATAATAACCATAATAATAATAGCAACACTAATAATAAAATAATACTAATACTAATAATCAATAAAACAAATTAAAAAAAAAATTAAAAAAAATCCGATTTTTAGGACATCCGGATAAAATATCCGGATGTCCTAAAAACAGAAACAAAAAAAATTTGACGAAACTTACAGAATCTTCCGACGATGCCTCCGGTGTGCGATCGTTGCCGTCATTCCACATATTAAGCCCGTGAATTCAGCTCCAGGAAAATTTTGGGAAAAAAAAAACCGATTTGTCTTGCCTTGGCTCGGGAATTTTGGGACTCGGGATTTTGAAAAGAAAACTTTGAGTGAAACCGCTCGATAATGTTTTCAAGATGATCGTGATTCGTTATGACTAGTCGGTGGACCATTAAATAGCACAAAATAAACAAAGGGCAAAATGGTCATTTCACAGAAGATTGGGAGCGACGACCGATAAAAAGGGAGCGACGAATAGCAATCCAGTTTGCAATTTGCAAATAATTTGCAACAACATGAACATCATCACTGTAGACAAATTTAAAATGTCTGTCACTAATTAATGATAAGATGGTCATTACTGTGGAAAAAAAACAATAGTACAAGTTTGGCTTGTTTTGGTACTACTTTTGGTTGCTTGCAAAGTTTCCATTCATAGTGGCTTCTAGCTTGCGTCTATTTTGAACATGAGCAATAACTTTTATTGGTACTCTGATCCTTCCGTTACTTGCGTGTTGAATCTTGCGCTTAAGGAAGGATATGCAGTGAGAAAATTTGGTCAATGTTAATACTCGCACTGAATATATAAATAGAGCAAAAGTCATACAAAATAGAAGAATTTGATGTTTGTAAGTGCTTTAGCAATTAATCCAAAAAAAAAAAAAAAAAAGTGCTTCTTTAGCTATACGAGTTAACTAATATAAAGAAAATCAAGGAAAGTGTAGTAGAATCTTAAACAGCAAAACATTGTATATGTGTACTGTGGTATTATTTGATTGGCAAAAGCATAAAAGTCACACATGCATCTTAGGTCTCTCTAGGCATTTTGATGAATAAAAACTTCTCATGCTCAACTAACAGTATTTCTAGATATCTAACAAAAATATATATATATATATATATATATATATATATATATATATATATATATATATATATATATATAACGGAGTATAAATTTTTATTGAGTACAAAATTTTATGTCTTATGCTCAATCCCAAATAAATTCCAAATTAAGGATAAATTTTTTTTTGTTATGTATGTTTGTAATTGTATGTATATCCATAAATATATGTAGGCACCTCAATGAAACGCATTTCTTAGAGCCGCCACTAGCTTACAATTGAGGTTGGTTTGGACTCATTAATTTTGACTCATATGATTGAGATCTAAGAGTTGAGAGGTTTAGCAATTATATTGTATGTCGGAAACTACGTATTTAGTATAGCTTGAAGCCCCACGTGTTAGGCTGCTCATCGTAATAGTTTCTCAACCATGTAAGTGACTAAGTGAGCCGTATCAAATCAGTAAGCTCTCGAGGTTAACCCTATCAAATTCAAGCTCGGCCTGCTGAAAGATCTAGAGATTTTAATTAAATTTACAAGGTAGACTGCAAAGAATACAAGTTATGACTATGAATCGGCACCCTCTCACAGGTTAAGCCGGTCCAGCTTTGCAGATTAATGCTTGAGTTAGAGTAGAGGGAAGAGGTAAGGGAATCCTCCTACTCCCAATCAAATGTAGTTGATGAGGATCAAACTCATAACCACAAAGTCACAAGGTGAGTTCCGATCCCCAACAATTCCACCAAACTAACTTGGTTCTATCATAAAAGTACATAATGTTGATAGAATCATAGTTAAAGTTTGTAATGTGATTGATTATGTGAATCCTAGAATCAAAATTGTAGAATACTCATTTTAGAGTCATGAACTCCGTAAAAGTACGAGTATACCATAGTTTTAGGATTGGCAATAAGAATTCAAATTTGAAAATTTATATCAAATACTTCCCCCATTTCTTTTTAGTTGATATGTTTCTTTAGTCACGTTTTCTAATGTACAAATTCAACCATTAATATATTTGATTATCAAAAAAACAAATATTATTAAAAGTTGATATTTGGAAAACATATATAGTGACAAATCTAACAATATCTCATATGACTATATTTTTTCATTACGTATAAATTACAAATAAGATGAAAGAAAAATGTGTGAATAGTGTTAAAGTCAAAACATGTCAATTAAAAAAAAAAAAAAAAGCTTGCAAGAATAGATACATTAAAAAATTGTTTGTATCGTAGTGATTCAATTTTTTTTTTTTTTTGGTGAGAGAGAAGGGCAAAGCCATTATGGACTTTTTTTTTTTGACAGGAAGCAAAAGCCTTTTATTAAGATTTAACGTGGCTTAAATCAGCCAAAACAAGTTCCATTACATCACTAGGATACTCCTCTAACCATATCCTTAACTCAGGAAACTGATTACAAGCTTTTGCTAAACCATGAGCCACTCGGTTTCCATCTCTTTTCACAAATGAAAAGGAGACACAATAACACAAACGAGAAAGAGATAAGATATCATTAATAATTCTACCAAAAAGGGTAGGAGGGGCATCTCCCTTCTTCAAGTGGCTGTAAAGCTTCAAGCAATCCGTCTCTAAACAAAGCCGCAAGAAGCCTGCTTCCATAGAGATGTTTAGGGCGTATCTCATGGCCAACGCTTCCGCTATATCCACATCAAAACCACCCTCCATTCGACAGCAAGTAGCAACCACAACATCTCCTACATGATCCCTCATCACTCCCCCCAAGCCCACCACATTTGGCGTGAGCAAGGCAGCATCAGCATTCACTTTAATCACTCCAGCTAATGGAGGCTTCCACCGAGTTTCTAGTTGCATGGCAGGTGGGTTAATGTTGTTTACCTCTTTCGCTAGCTCAAACTCACCTACTATGCTTACTGCTTTACGAATCACATCAGCCCCCTCCCACCTCCTTCTGTTGAAAGTCCAAGCGTTGCGTCGCAGCCACACACCCCACGCAATACTCCAAAACAGACTCCACCAATTAAGATCTTTGATTACCTTCCATATCGAACTACACCAATCTCCAAAATTCTCCCCTTGGAAGTAGACTACATCCAATCTCAGAAGGGAAGTATACCAGATGAGCTTAACCTGATCACAGAGAGCCAGCATATGAAGAGTATTCTCAGCAGCCTCGCCGCACATAGGGCATGTCAATTCAGTATTTACACCTCTTCGCGCAAGATTATCACGAGAAGCAATCCCATTTCTAACACATTTACAAGCAAATAACTTGATTTTTTGCGGAACTTCCACATTCCATACCTTCTTCCAATCAAACAGAACACCTACATTTGACGAGGAGACAGCATCTTGTACTTGCTCAATAGAGAGAAGGTTATAAGCACTCTTCACCAAAAATCTGCCATCCTTCGAGTAATGCCACATCCACGTATCTTTGCTATCATATAATGGAATAGGGATGCTCCGAATCATACTAATCTTTGCCACAGAAAAATAATTATTTAGAGCATTTATATCCCATGCCCTATTTTCCCATAGTTGCCTCACATAAGTAGGGCACTGATTGTCCTCCCTATGACTCGACATTACTCGAAACTCAGGCATCTTTGGAACCCACGCGTCTCGCCATATATCTGTTGAAGCACCATCACCAATATTTCTCCTAACACCCTTCATCAGTACCTCTCGAGCCCCTAAGATAGACCTCCAAGTATAACTTGAATTAGCACTGATTTTTGCCTCCCTAAAGGTCGAATTCGGGAAGTACTTTCCTTTGAGAACCTTGGTCATTAGGGAGTCCTCATTGGAGAGAATACGCCAAGCTTGTTTTGCCAACAGAGCCTTGTTAAAGTTCTTCATATTTCTAAAGCCAAGGCCACCTTGCTTCCTTGGGACATACAATTTCTCCCAAGCAACCCAACAAATCTTCTTCTCCTCCCCCTTTTGACCCCAAAATAATTGTCGACACAGCCTTTCCATCACATCTAAAATGCTACCCGGGATTAAAAAACATTGCATTGCATAAGTTGGAATTGTCTGAGCGATTGATTTAATTAGGATTTCCTTTCCGGCTTGAGATACATATTTCTCCTTCCACCCCTTGAGCTTCTTCCAGATTCGATCTTGAATATTTTGGAAAATCTTTTTTTTTTTATCCACTAATTATGTTGGTAACCAAGATATTTTTCATGTCCTTCGACAGCCTTAAAAGATAACTTCATCTGAAGCATATTTTTCCATTCCTGCTCAATGTTTCGGCTAAAAGACACCTCTGATTTATCCATATTCAATTTCTCCCCCGAAGCCATCTCATAAGTAGAAAGAATCCCAAGAACATTCTCAACTTCTTCCTCCGTCGCTCTCACAAACAGGAGGCTATCATCTGCAAAGAAGAGGTGAGAGATCGGTTTAACATATCTACCGATCTTCACCCCATGAATGAGCTTCCTCTCTTCGGCATCCCTAAGTAATGTCGACAATTCCTCCGCACACAGAATGAACAAAAAGGGAGAAATGGGATCTCCTCGTCTAAGTCCCCGGGTAGACTTAAAATTCCACGATGGTTGCCCATTAACAAGGACATTAAAGGATGCAGTACTAACACAATTCATCACCAAGCTCACAAAATTTTCTGGCATACCCAGCTTCAACATCATTTTCTGCAAAAATTCTCATTCAACCCTGTCATAAGCCTTGCTCATGTCAAGCTTAAGACCAAGGTAACCCTTTTTCCCCGTTTTCTTCTTCCGGAGATAATGGAAGACTCATAAGCCACCAAAACGTTGGCAGTGATTAGCCGGCCCGGTACGAATCCACTATGCGACTCATGAAAATATACGGGAGGACTAATTTTAATCTGTTAGCCAGCACTTTAGTAACAATTTTATACAATACATTACACAAGCTAATAGGTCTATAATCAATAGTCGACTCACACTATTTTTTTTTTCGTAATTAAAACAATATGAGTCTGATTAATAGAACCTATATCCCCATTATTATTTAAAATATCTAAAACTTTCCCAGTTACACCATTCCCAACAATATCCCAAAATTTTTGGAAAAAAATTGCGGACATACCATCGGGCCCGGGGGCCTTTGTGGGGTGCATCTGAAAAAGTGCAACTCGAACCTCCTCGACAGTGAACGAGGCAGCTAAGCTCATGTACTGTCTATCATCAATAGCTGGAGCCACCTTCTCAATCATGGGCTCCACCTCAATGTTACTACTCCTGGCAAACAGATTTTCAAAATAACTGACAAAATTTGCTCCTCCTCCAAGTACACATTCCCAGCCTCATCTCTTATTTGGGAGATGTTGTTACGAGCTTCTCTTTGTTTCGCCTTATGGTGGAAAAAGGATGTGTTTTTATCTCCGTGTTTAAGCCACTCCTGTCTGTTGCGTTGCTTCCAGTACATCTCTTCCCTTTTCTCAAGCTCATCCATACGGTCATCTATAGCTCTCATTTGAGCTATCACTTCCTCCGTTTGAGTCTCTCCCATTAAGAATTTCATTTGAGCCTTACA